ATTAGCCCTTTAGCTGACTTCGAGCTTCACAGAGGGAAGGAACATCAAAGAAGCGGAAAATCGAGTTGAGGGGAACAGAAGAGTGATTTACAGATGTAAAGCGACAGACACGAAGGCAGAGAAATGGAAGGATGAGTACTGTGGAAGTGGTAGAATATGGCATACCGTTGGGTCATGGTAGTTTGAAATCAGAAGTCAACTGCCGATTAATAGACTTTTTTGTTGGGTGCGCGATAGCCTTACCTCTGTAGCGGATTGCTACCTTAGTAAAGCCTGACTGACTCAGAAATCTCTATGGCAAATTCTCCAACATCTAGCTAGACTCCCAGAACCAGCTAAGCTATAGCCCAGCTATAAAGGAAACAGACATGTAGCACGGAGCACGCTTATTCAATACGTATATCACGGAAAAAGTGTTTACAGGAAGGAAACCAGTCATACAACATGGCGGATTTGATAAAACAAGTGAGGGTCATTGAGCTGCTATTGGCTGCGTGCTCTTGTCCTCAATCAGTACGGGAAGTTGTACGGCCGCACCTCAAGCCTATGTGTACACGCATGCGATGACGTGTCCCACACCTCCATGTGGTGCACCCTGGGCAACATATTCTCATACGGCAAAATAGTCTATTAACCGGCAGTTGACTCCTAACTTTAAACTACCATGACCTCACTGTATGTCATATTCCACCACTTTCACAATACTCACCCCACCTTTTCTCTGCCTTTGGGTCTGTCTATCTCTTTTACATCATTGTATCACTTTTCTTTTTCAATTCTCGAATTTTTCTCCCTTTGATGTTCCTCCCCTCATCCCCTTGTGAAATCCAAAGTCGACTAAGGGGATAATGATAAATATCATAAAGCCTGCCATTTGAAATAATAATAATAACTTTTTTGCCGTATGAGTATACGTTGCCCAGAGTGCACCACGTGGAGGTAAGTCTATCGCACACCCACTGTCTAAACTATAATATTATATATTTAGTAGTACCAGTCGTGAACACTATTACGTCGAACAACCTTAACAATTTTATTTAATAAGAATAAGCAGTATTTTTCAATATGCTTGTTGTCCAATGGAAGAAAAATATTAGAAGTGATTTTATTTAGTTAAGGTAATCTTGCTCCGAATATTCAGAAATTCGGATTTATTTTTCCCCAATAAAACTGAAGTCATATCTGTTGTGAACAATAAAGTCATTAATGACATTTTAACTTTTTCAAGTAATGCAATGCCAATAAATAGTGCTTATATTTAATGTTACATAACTGACCTTGATGATCAAGGGTCATTCATTGAAAAATACTTCTGTAAGGCTGTTTGTGCTCTAATTTCTTATACGTCCATTTAGACTAATAAATTATTGTGTTAAGCAGCTTTAGTATGTTATAGTTTTATTCGATTACCTATGGTATGCTTTTTTACTTTAGATAAACCGATATTTCATATAAAATGTGTGGTCGGAAAAACTGGTGAGATAATTTGTTATTTTAACTCCTGAAGTTCCCTTAATAAAGATGAAGTAATCGCTCGCTTACAAGCAACATTTGGCACGAAAAGAAAATTTCAGTGGAGATCTGAATGTGCACCGGGTGAATATAAGCCCTCTTACAACGTTGCGCCTGGCAGCTATAAGTATATTTTATAGATTTTTTATATATGCCTCTATTTTTACTTTCATTCTTTGGCTTATTAGCCCCGTAGTGATTTCATCATCTCAAATCCATCCGAAGTTTAACCCACCCACTGATTCGGAGACCGTCCAAGTTATGCGCTGGGGATTGATACCTTCATTTGTTCCCAACGCATTAGAGAAAGCCTCTAGCTACAAATTTGCAACTTCGAATGCCAGAGCTGAGAACATCCTTGAGCGCCCATCTTATATGGATTGCATTAAGCATAGACGTAGATGTGTTGTCATTGCTCAGGGGTACATATCTCGCTATTCTATACACTTCTATTAGGTTTTATGAATGGAAACAAGAAAATGGAAAGAAAATGCCATATTATATTTCCATTCCGGGTCAAGATGAATCGCTTATGCTTATGGCTGGTATTTTTTCAGTTAATAAGGAACAGACAGTTGGTGAAATTCAAGATCTTTAAGATACCTCATTTAGATCTTTTCTTACAGTGTGATTACAACGGGAGCCGTTAATGAAATGGCTAAAGTGCACAACCGAATGCCTGTATGATTTCGATTTTGTTCTCTCCTACTATTATTAAGGTTATTTTCAGAGATCCTGAAGATATTTTTGAGTGGATCACTCCAAATTTATGCTCACCCACCCAAGTAGGTTATTGCGATGACCCAACATGCATTCTTGTCTTTCAGACTGTTAGTTATCTTCAACATCTGACGGACAAGCTAAAAGCCATCGAATTGAGAATATATCCAGTCACCCCCTTAATGAATTCTACTTCTTTCTCCTCCCATCAATGTGTTGAGCCTTTGGATCCATTTAAACCGTACTTCCACTTTGAAAATTTTAGAAACCAAATTTTACATATTATAGAATCGTTAAGGATTTTCCTAAAACCAAGAAGATAAGCGAATTCTTCTCAAGGAAGAGACCAAGTTCTGAACATTCTGCAATTGCTGTCAACAAAGAGGAGGAAGAACCATCTCTAAAGAAAAAAACTTGAGGATGTATAGTTGCCTTTACCCTCGCCTCATTTAATAGATTTTATAAATAAAAGAATCGTATTTATGGGTGTTTAATTTGTTGATGGACTTGGAAGAGGTTGGTGGACGAAGTTTGTTCTGTTTTTGCTTCTCGGTAAGCGGGGGGCCATTGGTGTGGAGGGTTTTTCGATTGTCTCAGGTTTGGTTTGCTGAGGGACTGGTTGGGGTACATCTTTTCTATCAATAAATAGGGATGATCGGAGTGTGGAAAGGCGTCTAAAGGAGGTCTAAATAGTTAATTTATTAGTAAAGTTCACTGCACGCACTTGCTGATTTTCGGGATTTGTTGGATCGTAGTTCTTTCCTCGTTCAGTTTTCCGTCGCCGAATTGTGGAACGCACCATTTTACAATACTCAGAGGCACCTACGCCTGGTCTTGATATTGAAAATCGTCTAGTGAGATTTGGGAAATCTGTAATTCGGGTTGGTGTCAAGGGGGGCAGATCATCCCGGCTAATGATCTGCTCATCGGAGAGCTCTTAAATATGGAAAGTTAATGGTACTTCAACATCAAGTCCAGAACAAAGAAGAGTTAGAGTCGCTGAATGTTCCCTCAAATACAACCCACAATGAATCTGAAACATTTGAGTGAAAAGGATAATGTTGAAATCGGTAGGAATAAAGGTAATGAGGATTCATCAAGAAGAGGTGATTCGATTCTTCAGTAGGTTTGAGGAAGATTGAATAAAAGTCATTACATTTCTTGCTAGTAAGTTCTATGAAAGGGAGCCATATAACCCCCAGTACAATCCTTTGTAAAAGTGAAAGCGTACATGATATCTTTGGTGTTTGTCTGGCCCAAATTGTTAGATAGGTGGATTGCTAGCGTAGCAATGGCTATGAAACAGACAACTCAATTCAGTTTTAGCATTTTTAAAAGATTCGTTACAAAGTAGCATTCTGTCTAAGGTCAAGGTAAATTATAAAGCAAATTTAAAGCCTTTCGCCAGTTTCGAACTAACAGTTATTCTAAAACAAATTTTGTTGAGGACAAACTGTGGAGTACACAGAACAACCAAGGTTGATCCAAGCAATCGTATATACACTCGAACAGTCTGGAAGGCGAGACCGTGTTTCTGATCGCGTTGGGAGCTTTGACCTTTCCCCCCCCCCCCCCCCTCCCCAATCAATAATTACAGCATATCTTTAGTTGTATTTTAATGACTAAGCACTGCATTGGACACACAATCAAATTAAACGCATTTCATGTGATACATCTATTTCCCCTACGTCGTTCAGGTAGCTTGGCTAACTTCGGGAGCCTCTCTATAGTGGAGGACTTTGAAATAGTGATAATTTAGGGTAAATCAAAAGATCATTCATATAGCAGTCAGCTATAATATCATGCATTCATTAATTTAGATAAGTGATAATTAATGTGCGTGGGTTTAAAACTGAAATAAGTATTTGCTGTGGGTTTATGCTCACAATATTTGGCAATTTCGAAATACAGCGATTCAAACTAGACACTTAGAATCAAAGACTCCAACACCGCAGAAAATTCTGCTGTAAAAGTAAACTGAAAAGTAATGTGAACGAACCAGAGTGGCCACCAGTCAAAGCAATCGACTCTTTGCTAAAGTTTGGCTTCCTCCGGAATGAGGCGCAAGCTAACCATGCTCCATGTTTCACTATGGATGGTTTCATTGGTTGAAGGGAAGCCTTTGAATCGACGGGCTTGGGAGTAGGAAGAGGAGCAGAATTCAGAGGCGTCATTGGTGGGAGTTGGGATATTATTGGTGAGGTTGGATGAGAATAATGATACGCTGGAACAGGTTGCGTTTGAGACACCAATTGCGACACTAGGAGGGAATGTATTTATGGATTGTGATCCTCTTTATTTACACATTTCCGCTCTGTTTTAATTGGTTTAAAATTAAACTGTCTCAATTGGAGTCCTTAAGCCAAAAAGTTCACCTCTTTTTGTCCTAGCCATGCATCTTGTTTATGTCTTTGAAAAAAACATAACCAAGACTTCAAGCTTCATTTTAGTAGAATAAATTAACTTAATCAAGTCTTTTAGGATCTTTGAAATATTATTGTTTTGGTTTCTTTATCTAGAATGATTAACCACCTTTCAATGTGAGGAAACTGCTAAGAGAGTGAAGGAAGAATCTTTTTAACCCACTAGCAAAGACTGAAATCTTGAAATTCAAACAGCGTAAGTAAACCCACAAGCTGAAAAAAAATTTGACATAGTAATCAAAGTAATTAGAACATTAGAACCAACATAGTTTTTCTTGAAAGGCTGTACCCCACTACTTTTAATAAATCTGACAATTGCGCGTAAATCCTGAAGTAAACTTGATTTCTCGAACCTATTTTATGTTTTCTTCGTTCGATTCTTTTTGGCCTTTTTATAACTTACCTCAAGTAGATGGAAAACACCTTTGCTTTCATCAAAGCGAGTTCCCAAATGCATTGCAATGTGGACGTATTTCCAACGCGTGCTACTGAAATCCGGTTTAAGAAGAACAGACTTTTGACAAATTCTAAATATGTTTGAAATCATTGAGTTTCATGGACACTAATCAACTTTAAGCTCGATACTTTCTTTTCAATAAGCAGCATTCTAGCAGACTTCTTATTTGTTTCCGAGTCGTATGCAAGAATACAGACCACGAAAGTAATTGCAAATTCCTACGAAAATCGGACTACATCACCAAGATAGTAGCAATAAATCCATTTAGAAAGAAACTAACTACTTGAATTTGAACCCTATTCACGAGGTAGGTAAGTAGAACACTATTTAAACCCTGGGTTTAAGTGAAAAATCGCGCAAATAATGTTAATAATAGCAGTAGAAAGAGTTATAAACGCCACAGTTAGTCATTTGTCATACTTCTAGACAATTTTAACACGCAAAATAACTGTCGAGGTCAAGGTAAAAAAAATTGGAAGAGACTTACACAGAGGCAATCCCTCTAACATTTTTGCATACTGACTTCGAAAAGCACCTGACAATACACAGAAATAAATTACCAAAAGATCTTCACTAAAGAAGTTGTGAGGCGTTTAAATTAGAGCGATATACACACCGTCCAGATGGTTAGACAAGTCAAATTGATTTATAAAAGGTATCATGTCAAAAATAGGTGGTTAGTGTTAAAGGAAGCGAGACGGGATTAGGAGGAGGAGGAAATAGAAGTAATGGGGAAAGGGTTAGGTGCGGCGAGATTCCGAGGAAGACAACAGAGAAACCTGTCGCAGCTTACTCTTCAACCGACGTCCAGCTTCCGTATCTGGAAGATAGCTAACCGGAAGCCTCCCGCTGTAGTCTCTATTGGTTGCTTTAGCACCTAGAAGTATATAGGCAAGTTGAAATAAGATCAATATGTGAGAAACACTAGAGTTTGCTAGATCCAAAGGTCACCTTACCCACCACTATTTTGATTTACCCCTCCTAATGAGTTAGTTATATGATAGACTTGGTGTTTGAGTACTAGAGAGAATAAGGTATTTTCATGATGTGAGTGATAAATGCAATAGAGACGAGTTATGTTCCATAATTTTAACAACTAGAACTTAATAAAAGTGATGCTTAATCCCAAAAGCTTTACCGTAAACCAGTGCAATTCTCCACTTGGAGATAGCAGAACTCTAAAAATAGAAAGTTTATTAAAGGGGTAAAACAACCTTGAAATTCCAACTACCCTATAACCAAACAAGATCACCATTCATTCATCTTTTCGATCAAGAGAATTGAAGTTAGAGCTATTCGTTTGAATTATGTGACATTTGCTTTGACATGAAAGTGTAATGGAGAATTTTAAATTTAATATCCTAACATGTGAGAGAAATTAGTTTCGTACTGATACATTGTCCCAATTGCCACAAGAGAGTGCAATGTTAGTCTTCCGCATCATTGTGATGAATGACGAAAATCGAATAAGTTTAATTAAATTGGTGTCTTCCCACTAAATATCTCCGTAATAAATCACATCCCTCCATCAATGTAAATTGTATATTTAAATTCATGGAACAAAATTCACACGCTTTCCATATGAAATTATTTAGTGACCTTATCACATATAGTATTGTAACTTAAAAACGGCAAATCAAGAGAAATGTGGTTTTTTCCCACTTCACCAACCAAGCTTTTAGATCTACTGATTATCTCAGAAACATCGATTTTTGTAGCCTTACCATATTTGGACATGAGTTCAAAAGCGACTTCTTCCGAAGCTCCAATAGCAGCCATATGAAGCGGTACCAAACCCTAAATCGATTTGTATTGATTCAAGAATGACATGAATCCACATACCCCCTAGAGAATGAGATGAAAAACGAACATTATTAGTTATAAGTCAAGTTCATTAAGCCCCACACATCATTGACGACTTATTTGCAAAAAGATAAATCAAAATTTGTTACACTTCAATAAGGACATAAAATAGAAACGAATTTTGTACTTGGGAAGTTTTAAGACATGTGATTAATAGTATGAAATCGATACAGTATAATACAAGCACGATCGAAATAGTAATTAACACAAAACGAACCTGGGCTCGGAAATGCAAGCATAGAAAGTCGATCGAGAAATTAAAGCTAATGTCAACTAAGACTCATTCTATAAATCCGTGCCTATAAATATTCACTCACTTCTTACCCAATTTCTATTTATGAAGTTAGATAGGGTTAGTTTATGCAACGAATTTTCTGATTTTATAGCATAGCTTCGTTAATTTTTATCGAAATTTGCTTATCAATTTTTTGCTCTTTTTTAATGTTTATGTAGTGGCTTTTTGTGCATGACTCAACAATTAGTGGTCCAGATTGCTCTTGGTTTTTATCCTTATCTAACGCCACATCTACCCACTGAAACTCTCTTTTCAATCTTACTACCTCAATTCGTCCTTGTCTTAGTCATGTCTTATTTTAATTAAAAAGCCCTATCTACTAACTATCTATAATTAATCTAGAGCCCAACCTCTTCTAGGTTAAAACATGATTTAATTTCACTTGGTATCGTAAAAAATTCAAAACTGCGTTATCCTAGAAGAGAAGATAATGAGGTAAAAGTACGCGGTAAAGCGATGGCCTTTAACTTCTAAGAGCCAATAGGAGGTAAAAATTGATCGAGAGCGCTAATTAATCTTTACACACGTGACATGAATCAGTTTTTGTGTGTGTGTGAGTGGTTGTAAATACCCGTACACTTGTAAATTTGAGGTTCAGTTACGTGGGCTTGTGTGTTTACAATAGGAGATGCAGATATTTAATTTCCAATAGGAATGAGAATAATTCAGATTCACACTGATTTGAAAAAAAATATAAACATGAAAAGACCGATGAAATAAATTATAAATTATGTACATAAATGAATATCTTTCTTTACTCAATGCAGCCTTGGCAACGCTAAATCAGTACCGCCTTTGTGAATAATAAATGCTTAGGTTTGCAAATGGAACATATGAAATTTAGCAAATAGAATCTCCATATGAGTCAGAAATCTACTTACATGGTTTCGAAGTTCTACATTGGCTTTGTTTGTTCCTGCTAAAAGCTTCACTATAATCACATCATTAGCTTTTGCAGCAAAGTGCAATGCAGTCTGCAAAATGTGAAAATAAAGCGTATTAACAACACCTTCAAGCAAATAATTAAAATAAGGTCTAACTTACATTCTACAATGAAAGATAAGAGGCCCCAATTATGTTGTCAGAAACTGATGGAAATGTCGGTTTAATACATGATGTACATAAAATTCTTTAAACTTACTCCAGTAATATAGTCCTATTCAAATAAATCAAAGCTGTCAAAAAGGAAACTTCTTGGAAAAATATAAATAACTAGAATATTTCACCTGCCAATTTACAAGATCGGGGTTCTCTTTGAGAAGACGGGACATTTCACTTACATCACTTTTTAAAATAGCAGTTCTCCACTTCTTTTCTATGTCAGTAATCTTGGAAGAAAATAACAATAAGCGAATGAAAAACCAGTAAATTAAATGCACAGATATACTCACCCCATAAAATACATCGTTCAGCTAAAATTTAATTAAGCATGAAATAACTGTACAATAATAATAATAATAATAATCGAAGCTTTTGATTACTTACATGGGCTGATTGAACATCTAGCCAATTATTCTTCAAATAAGGATTTTGTTTCCGCATGGTTGGTGAACGCGGAACCTCCATTTTTGAAGTCTTTGGCTATAAAAGTGTGATAAAAACAATGTTAAATTGAATGCTAATTGAAACCAAAACAAGCCGTTGTTAAAAATCTAATTACTGTGATGTTAATAAATGACAAACGACACAGCCATACGGTGGCAGTTACTTCTTAATTCGTAAAGAAGTTATGAGTGATTCTAACATAATGAATTAAATGACAAATAAAAAGTGAACAGGAATGAACAACCAGGTTTCTTTTTGTCAGACATGTTTGGCAAAGGTTCAATGGAAAGCACTCTAAGGATGGCATTTAAAGCTTTAAACGTAAATCAAATTTTATTAAATTTTCAATGAAATACTGTAAACGCATGCAAGAGAAGCAGTTTCCCTAACAAACCTGACAGTGGAACCGATACAAGCCCTCAAATGGGCGCAAATTTATCCTTTTAGTATCTCTCAAGGTTGCTTTATTTAAATTAACTTTGATTTGTTAGTTAAAAAAACTAAACACAAATGCGCTTAAATTTTTCAGTTTTGATAATTTATGCTTTCTGACGAAAGTGCTCATTTAAAGGCAGTAACTACTTTGGGCGGACATTAAATTAAAAGCTCAATTTTAAGAATATTAGTGGATCATTTTTGGATCGATTAATGAAGCATAATATGTGGATAATATAATATCACAAAAATATTATGAAACTGCCATCATTATATGTGTCTAACATGGATTTCATCTAAAAGTTCTATTATGAACGACGAAGTAATGTGAATTAAGTCCTAACTGAGAGAATAAGCTTAGTACAAAGAAGAATAGATTCATATTTTAGGAAAAGAAATATCCCGATGATTAAAACCAGATTGCTGTGGCAATTTAACAGCCATTCAGATAAAATTGATGCATATTAATATACAATAGCGTTATAAGATTTTCCAAGCTTAAAAAGCCTTAAATTATTGGGTTTGACGAACCATTATAATTTTCAATACTAAGTTTCTTACATATTAAGTAAGAGAATAAGTCAATGGTAAAGTTCTCTACCAATACAGCGTTCTTAATGGTTGAACTAATTAGAAAAATGACAGATAAAAATATGATTCTAGACCACATAATTTTCTATAAAAGACGGCTATAAATGATTTTGCAACATCAACACAGAGATCTGAATTTGGAGTTTAGCTGGGATACCAATGTAATATTTACAAGGAAACAATAAAAAGCGGATTAATTATATTTTCTTAAAAAGTTCTATGCTCCATAATGAAGTTAAATCACTAAATGTTAAATGTAATTCTAATGTCAAATGTATCTGGCTGCCAAAGTTGGAAATACAGTGTCTGTCAAGAATGGATGATTCATATCTATTTTGAGAATACGCAACATTTGCTGTTAACAAGAAAAGTGTGCGTTTATGCTCGCCACTCAGTGGGTTTTAAGCCATAGAGGGTCAAATTATTTAGGCCTTCTTTTCTTTATCAAAAATGGAACATAGAGCAATTTAAGTTATGCCTTTCCTGGGAGAAGCCTCTAATATAGCTTTTTTTCTGTTCATTAACTCATTGACATTTGCTGAACTGGTAGTGCAATTAGCCTGTTACTCGGCAGCGTCCCATCCTATATATCATTTATGATCTGGTGAATTCGGAACCCAACAATTGGGACTGAAGTAGTCGAAAAAATATACTACCAATACAGTTCTACCTAAGTTAATGACTCCATAAAAGGTCGAGGGAAGGAAATATCATATCACCCTCGACAGATAAGGGAGAGGAGGACATACATCTGAAAACCGTGATAGTCGGAATAAATTTTGTTTCTATTACTCGAAGAGTCGCATTTAGTTTCCACGCAATAAATTAGAAAAGGATTGACTCCATGTTCCATGATAGAGGATCGTTGACCACCCAGTTAACTGTGGTAACAAAACCCGAATTCCTATGTTATAGTGCTCTAGGACTTTTTTCGGCAGCAGATTATGAGGTAATCTGTTGTTGGCGCAATTAGATTAAATATTTTGTTATGTCTTTACTATGGACAGCAGCATTATTACCTCCATTGCAATTTTCCAATTCATGTTGAATTCTTTTCACATTGTTGAGAGAAACCTGAGCAATGACCATGTTCTCCTCATTTTGAAGGCCGACGCGAACCATCATAGTACATTTTTTACTTCTCCCTGATTAATGTGGGTTCTAGTCACGCATTATCGCTTACATCACATATATGCTTGGTGAAGGGTGTGAATTTGAAGGGAAAAGTGATTTACGGAAATAACTTCAGCACATCTGGAATAAAGTATTAAATATTGTTCTGTAAATTCCATGCCAAAAACACTCCATATATATACATTGTATATGACCACTTAGCGTATCGTTTTCATTTATTATTGGAAAGCGGCCAAGCGTAAAAACAAATGAAAAGGAAAATTTACTAAAAATTAATGATTGTTAAAAGGCTATCATGTTTTGGATGTCCATATTAAGTGAATTAGTTTAGAACTTGTCGGTTTATAAAATAGTTCAGTAAACTTTTTTACCAGTGGAATTCTCCAACTTACCCTTTCATACAACTCGCAATTCAATTAAGAATTACTATTCTATATTACCCGTATAAATGAAATAATGAGGTAAGTCGTAAAGCCGTCAAAATAAGATTTATTACGCCCCCAGTTATTAAACTGTCTAAAGCCAACAAAATCTGCTTTTATTTTCAAACACCTGTCACTTGATTTGCCTTTAAGTTATTATTCAACCCTATTTTATCATTCCTTAAACTGTTAACAGAATATCAGTGCCTAGTCAGATATTTAGCGGATTGCTATACTAATAAATCCTTGGCCAACTCAAAAATCTCTACTGCAGACTCTCTTATATCTGACTAGATTCCCAGAACTAGCTAAGCTACAGTCCAGATATAGAGGGGACAGATGTATCGCACGAACCACGTTTATTCGGGAAGTATTTTTTGGTAAAAGTGTAATTAACGAAAGATTAGTCACAATCAACATGGCGGATTAGATAAAACGAACGAAGGCTTTTGATTGGCCATTGGCTGTGCGCGCATGCGATTACCTGCTAGTCGATGACAAGTCCCACAGGTATCAAGCCCAGTAATTGAAAGTCATTGTGTGCCTCGTGAAATTACTCAAAAACAGTTGAAAGAAGATGAATCATCCATTCACTTGGTTGATAGAAGAAGCGGCGACTCTGATTTCATTTCATCTTGTAAATGTTAATTAATTTCACCCTCTAATTAACGTCCAATTGCCAGACTCAATCAATTTATCTCATTAGAAAGTCAGTCTGATTGGTTTATATTTTTTCGAAGGATTTGCGCTATAATTCGCATTTTTGAGTTGGATTTATGACAAGATAGACTATAGTCGTTAAATTTAAAGAATTCAGGTCCACAAAGAGTAAAATAAGAAGTTCAGTGGCTTACTAGATACTACCAATTTAATCGTATTGATTTGGCAGCAGCAGAGTATCAATGAAACCGATTGATAAATAGGTGCTAGTATGCTAGGCTTGATTTCATTTAATGCCAAACTGTCTTAAAACACAAGGTCTGATTTTAGCAAGAGTTAAGCGGTAGAACATTTGTATAGAAAATAAATTTATATTTGGTTCAGATGAAATTTTGATAATTTCCAAATTTGTCTGAGAGCTGCAAGATTTGGAAAAAATTGTGGGTAGTTGAAACAACAGAAAAGGTTTTAATACAGAACAACCATTGTATTGTTTGGATAACATACAGTCAAGTAACCCAATGATCGGACCTAAGACAAATACACATCGATCGCTGTTAGATTAAAAGTATTTGTTCCTTTGTTATTAAAGAGATAGAAACTGATTTTCTATTAATCTGTAATAAGACGCAAACAATATGGATCACTTTGAATGCACTGGTTTTAATTCTGCTTCAAGTTAATGGTTCGTTTCTTTGTTTATTTTATGGAGTGAAATGTAGCAAAGCCTACTTAATATTCTGCCATTAAAATGCGCGTAAAACTTACACTAAATCTTGCTAATAACCATTAGTTATTATCCTCCGTATTGTTATCTAATTTAATGGTTGGCATCATCTAATGTTACGTAGCTCATTTTTTCCTCTCGTGGTTATTTGGCGATTACTGAATAAATACATTTCGAGCTACCTTTTGACCTAATGGTGTCCATAATATTGCCGTTTCACGTTACTATAGGGGATCGTTAGGTATTAATTGGCAACAGGAACCACGACCAAAGAGGTGTACAATTTTCATTATTTTGACAATTCTAAATTCTCTTACAATCTCTTCATGGTCAGCCGAGAACAGAAGTTTATTGTACAATGGTATTCAAGCGTGAGAAAAGTGTCAACGTGTAAACAAAAGTTTGTGTGAACACAAACATCCAAAAATCGATATGCAAGTGAGTTCTGGACACAAGGAGACCCAAGCCCTCGAGTATACAAATAATTTAAACAAAGCCCCAGATAATAGGACAGAGGGGACGTAAAAGTTGCCATTTTTAAAATTTATAGTTACCATTCCCCGAAGGCTCCCGACTTTCTAACTAATGTGAGACTGTACAAGAGCAAGGTAATACTTAGTAGTCATCCTAAAGCAATATAAACTAAAATTGATCATATTTGAACAGAATAATAAGATTAATTATTATATGTCAAAATTGGTTATTACAGCATTCGAAAACCTATAGAGATTCTAATCGGCAAATTAAGTAAAATCCATATTTTGTCAAAAATAATTAAAATAAATGAATTTAAACTAGTTTACTCCAGTTATGACAAACTAAGGAAAAATAATTTATAATTCATATAATAATATTCCTTCTGATTGTCATTACTTTTTAGTTTCAAAATAAATACTAGGCTAAGGAATGGGAATCAATTACCCGAGCCACTATATCCAACCGAACTCACCACAACTTCATTAATAGTAAAACATGGAACATTTAGGTCTACTTAAATAGTCAAAAATTACTTGGCATGGTATGGGGGGAGGGGTAGAAATGAGTCAGAGATCCAGAAGATGATCCTATTTTCTCTGAGCTACAGAATTGTGGGACACGTTATTGCTGTGTGCGTCATCGTATACCTGCATGTCTGCTCGCCAGGATTGGGAGGTGCGGCCGTACAACTCTGTGTGCAGCGACCGTACAAACAGTGACCAATCATTAACCTCTGTTTAACTTAATCCCCCATCCTGATCATGAGTAGCTCCCTGCGCGTACACTTTTATCCGCAATATCCGTACTGAATAAACGTTCTCCGTGCTACACGTCTGTTTCCTTTATAGCTGGGCTATAGCTTAGCTGGTTCTGGGAGTCTAGGTAGATGTTTGAGAATCTGCCATAGAGATTTCTGAATCAGTGAGGCTTTACTAGTGTAGCAATCCGCTACAGAATCTCCTGTTTCCCAATTCAAGCTAATCTCTAGATATCGTCTTATAATCTAATTAGATCGACCTATTGATTGGCCATCTTTAGGCATGTGAGTATAAATTCAATTGGCCTTTAAAATTTGGATTCATCTATTGAGACGAATAATGCCCATTTTAGTACAATTTTGAGTCAACTAAAACGAAAGTTAGTTTTTTTGTGGAATTTTGAACAAATATAGAAATAGATAGTTTGGCAAAGAATAGCACTATTAAAGAAAATTTCGTATTATGATAGTGAATTATCTCAATGTCGACATTTCACAGTTTTGTTCTCTGCGAAGGGTGTAAATCATCCAGTGAGAAGAGCAAATAGAATACCTTTATACCCTTTTGCATGCAGAAGTGCCCCTCAATGATTCATGCTATTCTTACCAAATTTAAGATCACTTGCAAACTAAAAGCAATGAAATTTAATGAATATTATTATTGAGGACTCAATTTTAACTTTCACATTTGTGCTCAAACACCCACCTATGTAACAGAGATTCTCACTCTACACCTCTAAGGCCAACTATGAGTACATGTAACATGGAGGTCACCGCAAGCCGGGACTTGTGCTAGGAAGTATACGCAGGGCTTCTATCGCTTTTTTTCAGCAGAAGATCATGGATATACTCACTCTAACAGTGCCTCTAACGTGCATCTCAATTGGGCTTACCGTTACTTCCCTTGTTTTACCGAATTGGAACTGTGGCGGTTTCTTTACTACCTGTGTATTTACTCTCGTTCATCTCATAGTTATGGTCCTGATTCTAAGCGGATTATTTTTGATATCAATAATTTTTATTACTGAAATGTTTGGAGCCTGTAGACCCTCTTGGATGCCTGGACCATTCTGTGGAACTATCAAAATACTCGTCTCGACAATTGGAGCCGGGAGTCTTATGGCTGGTAATGTTTTCTATGCCTTCATGTTTGTTCAATCTTGGTCCTTCCTGCTCTCCTTTTCTGGCGCTATTGTCGCCGTTCATGTTGTCCTCTTCTCTATGTTTGGTTCAAAATGCTTCAAAAACAACTGATGTTTATGTAACTTTTTCCTATAACCAAATTCTTATTTACTATAATCCTTGAAAAAGAGAAGATTATCAGAAATCCACAATACGTAAGTGTGTTTTGAGTAAAATGCACATAAATGGTACATTCTCAAGTAAATATTTTTAAGATGCCAAGTCATATTTTAACAAAATATTTCGAATTTTTCAACTGTCATGTCGAATTTGGCTGAAAAGTATTAGTTTTTGTTCGTTTTCTTTATGCAAAAGAAAGTTAAGATCGCTAGTTGACTACTACGTAGATAATTTATTTGCTTGTCTAAATTTGGATGTCAAATATCTACTGGAGTATTTAAATCCTAGGCTACTCATGGTTATTAAATGATTATGAGAAGGTTAAAAACCCTTGATCTGTTCTTGTTAACATCGTTGTATTAGTTCATTAATTAAAAGATAATGTCGAGGGTGGTATTTGATGACAAAGGCTGAATGGACGATATTAGTAGTGATGCCTCTTAAAAGACTTGTGCTACTCTCCTATGAATCAATTTAAGTGATTGTAGTTACTCCGGCAATAAACCTAAAAGGTGAAAATGGCTTAAATCATTAGGGATTATGGATCAACCACTACTCAGGACATGACTAATAGGAAATATTAACCGTTGCCGCAAAATCATCTTCGATTTATAAACAAATAGTCTTCGAAATATACAGTGAATATATTGTGCCAATGTTAATTTGCCTATATTTTAAATAGTTCCGCTTTGCTTAAAAAAATTCGATTAGTAGTATTGTTCATTTCGTGTTTTCGCAGATGCGAGACCTCGGCCCTTACAACAGCGACATTTTGCAGACAGCATCCCCATGTTTTAAATTGCCTCCAAAATTAGAGAATTTACCTCAACAATATCGAGGGAAGAGAGCGCATGGTGTAATCAGCATCTCTTCCGCTATTTTCACTGCCTCAAAATTTAATCGTTAAAATACAATAAAGGATGCGTTAACGACGCAGCGATTATTGATTGGTAATTGGCTGAAAGGTCTCTGCATTCACTACCGCACTTTCCGAGACTTTCTGAGTGCGCATCAAATTTTCATGTTCTGCCATGGTGGCATTGTTCACATCACGCTATAAAGAATATTAATTACTTATTTCCTAATACCCAATAAAAAGATTTAGAATAAGGCTCAATTCAGCCTCCAGGAGAGATGCATTTCAATGTAGCTTTCAGGTAGAAGTCTGCTTTTCATAAACTTAATGTTGAGTATGAATTGTCGAAACGTAAAAGGATTAAATTTTGTTTGAGTGGAAAGTGGAAGGTATTTAAAACTATTATTGTGAGCTAACTCCAGAAGTGCATACTAAAATCGATTCAAAGAGCCTTAATAGAGCCATAAGCTGTTTGAAAACTCTGTGTTTTAGATAGCCCATGATGAAAATGTGCACCATCATGTGTATTTATATTTAGGACTATCTCTCTAGGCATATGTGATCTCCGTACGCAACTTTTTGTTTAGGATAGAGAATACAAAACAGCCTTATACATAAGTCAGGTTCAGGTATTATATAACAGTGATTCCATGTTTTTGTTAGCTAATAAATACCATATTCAACGCGCATTCTATTAGCAAACAGTGTTAATAAGAGAAGTGTACATAGGCCAACGTCTAAGAACTTCAAATAAAATTATTTTAAGAAATTTAATGAAACCTTTCCAACCTTTTCAAGTTAATGCGTAATCGAAATGTGAACAAGAAACAAGCAGGCCTTCATGAATAATTCAGTGTTTTTGTTACAATTCTGGAATACATATACTTTATTCTTTTGTCAAATTTAGAAGTGAAAAATATTTTGAATTTAAAATAAAAAATGCATTAAAACTGAAGGAAATAAATTCGTTTATTAAACCAATGGAGTTTACCACCATGATCAAATAGAGAGGCAAGATAATTGAAATTCTCCACCATGTCACGAAACTTCACTTATGAATTGATGAAGTGTCCGACCAATAAGTTAATTAGATTATAAATAGAAGTTAAAGATTTAAACAAAAAAGAACAACTGCAAAAAGAATTCAAGTTGTAGTGCCTCAATAACTCATGATGAATTACACATCAGTGATGATGCAGACCTACGCGTTCTCACAGTCTGCCAATCATTCATTTCGTTTGGTTGCCAATTTTACACATCTGGCTTAAAATAATCAATATTTTTCAAAAAAGAGATAGCAAAAACTACAAAGCATAATGTAAAAAAGAAAACACTTCAATGCCTTTTTTTAAATGAGCGACTACTTTTCAATTTCCTCCAATCTTTGAACTTTGGGTGCATTGGAACTTGGAAGTTAACTGCTCTTGCAAATGAGTTTGAACAAATTCCGCGACCAACTTAATACCACTGAGTTTCCAACAAGCTACGGGTAGCGTTAGAGATGTAACCACATGCTGTACAATTCATACGAGGGGCATCAACGTATTATCAAACCAAGGCTGATTTGCCATATGGAACTCAAAGCTTCCACAGCTTGAGATCCTATTACCGCATCTGAACTATTTTTTGCTTCACATTTTAATAAATTGGGTCCTTTGAATATGCGTTACACAGAAAAATAGAAATCTAGTTATTTCCTCCTGTTATTGACAAAAAGTTCACACGCAGAGTTGTACTAAGGACTAATTGAGTTCACTATTTACCACCTTCAAATAATGGTATTGGCTAGCAGTTCTCAATCCTTGATGGTAAAGAAACACAAGCTTTTTTCAAATAGGACTCAGTTGGTGAGGTGGGGGGAGTTTAGGGGAGGATAGCGAGTTTGTTGGAATGCCTGCCCTTCAGCAATCATGTGGAATCACTGTTATAAGAAATCTTTCTGACCTACTTTCCTCCCAGATACCTGTGGCTAACTGTGTACGATGAGGTGGCAGAATAAGGCAGCCCTGATATCAATAAAAAAATAATATTTGGGAGAAAAGCTCTAAGTGATATGGACCGAGATCACACAGATGAAGGTAATAAACAAATTAGACTTATTTAAAAATGTTTCTTCCATGGGACATGGCCATGTTTGGACATTGACATTTCTGTGTGGTGATTGGCAAATATGCACATATACGTATCTAGACTCCTATTGTAGGATGCTTTGGCGTTAGGGGCCACAAACTGAAACTATCTCACCTTATTAGATGATAGGTTTAAACTAGTTAAACATTGTAGATATGAACCTGTTCTGTTCCAATTTTTCGAATAGTCAATTCTGTGCATTAATTGCCCCATTTTATCCAGAAGTCGCAAAGTAAGCCAGTTGTCATGATAAATTCTATTAACTAGGAGAGTCATAAGAAAGAAAGCTAATTTTGGAAATCATAAACGGTTAAATGGTCGAAAAGTTCGCTCTCAAGAGTGTACTAATAAGTCATAAAAGTGCATACATAGATGTACGAGATGCCAAAGTCGTCTTGTTTTCCTAAGGCAAAATATTGATGTTAATCTCAACCTAGTTGAAAAATTCGTTAAAGTCACCTATTGTGTGAATATTAATTTGACAATTATGGCTATCTCAAAGCTGATATTTTCAAATCATATAAGCAAAACGTGAGTTGAGGCTACAAAACCAGAAACTATAATTAATTAACCGACCAATTATCGCTAAGCACCAGGGGCAAGAATTTGCTCTGCATTTCAGATACCAAATTATGAAATTTGATTTCTGGAGCGTGAACTATTCATATAGTAGACTTTCCATACTTTTTTAAAGTGAAACCTTTCTTATCCTGCCTCGAGCCAAATGACCTTTAATTTACATCAATTCACTTTACAAAGAGAGGATCAGTTTGACAGACAGCAGGAGAGAAGCTGGTGCAAACCACGCTTAAATTCATACCAGTTTAAAACTTGAAAATGAAATAGCATTTTGTTTATTATCATTCAAAGAGGATGAATTAACAGGACCTTGACTGATGATTGTGTGAAGGCGTCAAGGTCTATTTTGGAAACTATTTGGTGTACCTAGCATTTCTATGGAAGACAAAGAGAGAAAATTCGAGAAATTGTTGATCAGTGAAGATTTAAAAAATTGTATATTTAATTTCGTATTTTTAAAGTTCAAATTATGCCCTTGAGACTTGATATCACATTTAGAAGAAACATACTCCCGGTTTAAACATTATTCACGAAACCAGAACGAGAATTATAAAAAATTAAAGGGCTGTGCATATTCTTTTGTAACTACTCAATGACGAAGAATCGCCAGAAGATGAGCGGTTGGCCAATGTGTATTTCAAGGAAATGAGTGCTAAATAAGAGGTGCGCGTTAGAATAACTTCCACGAGGTGCACCCTGGGCAACGTATACTCATACGTCAAGAAAGCCTATAAACTGGCAGTTGACTTCTGACTTCAAACTACCTGAATATAATTTACATATTCTTAAGATAACATCTCTGTATTTTTCTTACAATTTTTAGCTAACAATAAAAATGACCTTCAAATGTTATGTAACTTCTCTCTTTCAACCACGGTTAAATTTGAATCAGATTCACCTTAACAGGTTTAAACTTGCAATAATCCACGGCGTAAACTATGGGCTTAATCTTATGTAAATCGACTATAGAAATAGCTGATGAAATTGGCACAAATTTCTTGCTTATTATTATGAAATGAGGCATTTTTTGTGCTGCCTTTATACTGCGGTGTCATAAGATGTTTCCAGAACGAATTATCTTTCTTTTTCCGGAAATAAATTGGTGATCAAGTTTGAACACATGGAATCCCACTAACAAGTTGAAAGGGGATGAGGAGACAATGGGAAGCAGCCCCTCGATTCACGTTCACTTGAACAAGTCGATCTCTATTTACTTAGGCACTCATGTTTATCGTGGAATTACCCACAGAGTAACTTCTAATGTTCCACAAAACGATCACTTGAATCTCATAAGTCAAAAGGACTCTTATCACTAATGTGAGTACCAGTAGTATATTTTGCCGCATTCGAGTATATAGTTAATGTTACCCCTTGAAGAATTATGCTT